TTATAATTCTAATTATAATTCTAATTATAATTCTAATTATAATTCTAATTATAATTCTAATTATAATTCTAATTATATTCTAATTATTGACTTACACTTTTATTCTAATTATTAACTTACATTTTTATACCTTCTTAGCTCAATCAGCAGCAGCAGCACCATCTCCTACCTCTGCTGCCGCTAATCCTCCTTCTAGCACTAATCCTCCTCCTTCACTATCAGATCTTCCTGTTTTCAATTATTCACTTACCCAAAAAACTCCCGAAGAACGTGCTGCCCTTTGCGCACAGAATAAAAATTATTGCACCACAAATTGTAATAACAAAGTAAGTTAATTGATTTATTATTCGATTCAATACTATAATCTAACAAATTCCATTTCAAAATGGCTAATGATTTTTGTATCGCTTTTCTCTTTACTAGGCTCCGATGGTAAATAAATTTATTGTAAATTTATCTGTCCAACTCGTTCCTGATTTACTTACCACTCGTTTTTTTTTTGCTTTCTTTAGAATTTCTGTAATAACCAGACTATGGGTTGGGGATGGTATGTTTGTATTCATCTTTCATATGTATAATGCTGAGAATGCTGAAATTTCCTGATGCTAAGAATGCTAAGAATTGAATACTAATAAAATGTGTATATGAGTGTTGCTAAAAGAAACCCCGAAAATTTAAATATGACTTATATTTAAAATTTCGGGTTTTCTTTTAGCGACACACATATATAGATTTTAACATGTCTAGTTAGAGGCCCAAATCTCAGCACCACTTGCAATATTCACTTGCGATATATTTATTTTGATTTTAACCATTTTTAATCTTTAAATTATATAGTGGTTGTTCAGACAAAGTACCCGATTTCCAAGCTTATCAATGGCCCATCAATTATGCCGACTGCATAGGTAAAGGTGAAGTAAGTATCTGTTAATTTTTTATTTTTATACTTTGTTATTTCTCGATTATCATTATTTAATAATGATTTCTTGAATATTAATTCCAGGCATGCAAGCAAAGCTGCGGACAAACTAACTTTACATGTATTCAAGCTTGTTCTGCTTATTATTCCAATAGGTTTGTTATTATCGTTATTATCGTTATTGTATGTTATCGTTATTGTATTCCGATTCATGTAGTTCATTAATCAATCTTTTTTATTTGTTCTATTTCCAGATGCGGTAGTCCCAGTCAACCACCAGCTTATTATAACACTACTGACGAAAATACTCCCCCATCTTATGCTCCTCCGCCAACTGATAGTAGTTCTGCAAATGGTACTTCTCCTAGTGGCACTAATTCTAACTCTAACTCTAGCACTAACTCCGCTAAAAGTGACGCTTCATCACTCTCAATGACCTTTTCTTCAATTAGTTCTGCAATTTCTGCTTTGGTTATTGTAGCTGCTGGAATGACGATGCTTTAAAGTTGCTTTTTGTATAATATACATTTGTTTATATAATTCTATATAATTAATTAGATCTATTAAATTTAAAATTTTAAAAATTCTCTTTAGAATGATTTACTTTTAATCATTTTTATCATTTATTATATTAGATTATTTCCTAATATTAGACCTTTTTATCGTTATCACAATAAATTTAATTAGCTCTTCATTGTAATTGGTCACTGGATCTAGCTGGACCTTCCAGTGAAGTTAAATAAACTATCCCAGTTTCACAACAATAATCTCACACTCATGTGATTACATATCTAATCATGTATTTAATTATGCACAACCGCTCTTTGTTAACGCTAATACATAATAAAAGTACGTACGTATATCAAGTCAACATTAACGTTAAGTAATATTAAGTAATATTAAGTAGTATTAAGTAGTATTAAGTAGTATTAAGTAATATTAAGTAACATTAAGTAACATCAGTTCGATACAGTTATGGTAATTATTTCATTTACCGCTTCGGCGGACCTCCAAAAACGCGTTAACGTTTAAATGCTCTTATGTAATTAATTGTAAATATATATTTATATATCTGTGCACGCTGTAACTGGGATAAAATAATATAATTTGGGATAAACCTATACCCTAACCTTAAAATCCTAATAAATTTAAAATCCACTTAAATTCCGTACAACATATATTATCGTTATTGTAAAATTTTCTGTTACTAATACGTCAATTCATGATTTCTGTTGATTGTAAATAGGTCACACCAATTTAAAACCATGTTTAACATGAACCCCCCACTCTTTGAGATATAGGGGGTAATTAACACCATTTAATATAAAAATCATATTAACTGTTCAAAAAAAATTTTTTAGCCAATCAAAATCTCATGTTTTTTTTTTTTACCCCCTCCTGTTTTTATTTTATTAATGTTATGTTAAACATAGA